CGTGTGTTTCTGGGCCGCTTCCCCGCGTGCTGCCCGCTTCTCACCCGCTCTCCTCCCCCGTGGGACAGGCGCCCACTGCCCACGCGCAACAGACGCGGGTGTGTGTGTGTGTGCGTGTGTGTGTGTGTGTGTGTACGTATGAGACTGTGTTGCTCAAAAGGTCGCTCAGATCGCAGACAAACACGCACTCACAGACACACACATGCACTCTCACACGCACACACACACATGCACTCTCACACGCACTCACAGACACACACACACATATACATGCACTCACACACGCACTTACAGACACACACCTTCCACTTGTATTCGCCCGAGCTGGAGCCTGTGCCGGGTGCAAACCCGCCATCGTAGTACTTCTGCACAACAGCAATGGCAGCCATCACAGCAAGCGTCAGCAGGCACGAACCAAAGAAGGACACATAGCCACTGAAGCACATTGGCCACATAATATTCACACATGCACATATCTGCGCCTGAGCAACAGCCTGCCCGCACACACACACACACACACACACACACACACACACACACACACACACACACACACACACACACACACACACACACACACACACACACACACCTGTGATAGGCGCCCGTGGTTCCAGTACTTTACAAACTGCGAGTGCGTTGGATGGGAGGCGGGGAAGGGGGGTGTCGTGTGATGGCTTGCACAGGCGCTCGCGCTCGAGAACATACGCCCTCATAACTGTACGCCACAGACACACAGACACACAAACACACAGACGCACAGACACACAGACACACACACGCATGCACACACACATACACACACGCATACTACCTTCTTGAAGTACTTTCTGCGCTTGTCGTAGGAGTAGTCGTCGAGGGTCTTGTGCTTCTTGTGTTTGAGCCAGTGGCGGAACTCGGCGTTCTTCCGGTAGTAGTCGTCCTCCGCCAACCGCTCCTCTGCCCGAATGGAATGGCAAGGGGGGGGGGAGAAGCGAGCATTGTGGTGGTTGGCGGATGTGTCATGTGAGCAACGGGGATGAGGTGCCATCACATATCACACACACACACACACACACAACAACAACAACAGCAGCAGCAAGCAAGCAAGAGATCGCGCTGTCATACCGGGTGCATCAGAGTCGGAAGAGGACGACGATGACCCTGATGACGACCGACGATCGCTGCCGTCATCCGAGGACGAGTGGCGATGGCGGTGATGGTGCTTGGTCTTCTTCTTGTGCTTCTTCTCCTTCTTCTTGTGCTTCGCCATCTTTGACGGTGCTTTCGGGTTTATGTTGATGTTGATGTTGACGCTTATGTTTGTGGAGGTGGTTGTGCGTTCATGATGATGGTGATGGTACAATGAAGGTCAAAGTAACTCTTGTACGTACGTAACAGCATGCGCAAACCCACGCGAGGATACCAGCTACACACACACACTCTCTCTCTCTCTCTCTCTCTCATACACCCACTCACTCACTCATACATGCATTCAAAACGAGTCAACGGCTGGCGCCATAAGCGTCCCATCCCATCCCAACCGTCTCCATCACAACTCAATCCGCTTGCATCACACGGGTGAGGGCATCCACAACCGCACATCAGTGCAGCAGCTGCGCGTCATCGTCCTCCGTCTCGCTGAACACATGCGAGGGCGCGGGTGCGTTGGCATCGCCGTCGTCGTGGCCGTCTGCGCTGATCGAGTACGAGGACGCCTTGCTCCGGTTGCAGTAGTACCTGCAAGGCGGAGTGTGGTGGTGTGGTGTGCATGGTAGTTGAACCACAGAAGTAGAACAATCACCACATCATCATGGTCATCGTCATCACACAACCTTTCAAACCACACAGAGAACACACACACACACACAGACACACAGACACACAGACACACAGACACACAGACACACACACACACACACACACACACACACACACACACACACACAGAGAGAGAGAGAGAGAGAGAGAGAGAGAGAGAGAACACATGCAGAGCAGGATACCTGGTGATGGAAGTGATGCCGAGGAAGGTGAGGGCAAGCATGTTGACCCATCCCATGTACATGGCCGCAGTCAGTTTCTGCAGACACACACACACACACACACACACACAACAGTCAGTGCACCAGAAGCGTGTCATGACACGTGAGCAACGACAGGAGGCAGCGTGCACAAGACAAGGAACGGGAATGAACGCGTGAGGCGTGTCAACGGAGTCCTCATTCACGCACGTACACGCATGCACACACACGCACGCACGCACACGCACACGACATGTGCGCACCGCGTAAAAGTCTGGGTACTCGAGCTTGTTGCCCTTGAGCGTATAGATGCGCCTGCATATACACAACAGCGATACATGCTGAGACACGCGAGTACAACAGGATTGGTGACGCAAGCAGCCCACGATGCAATACACGACCCATCAATATCAAACACACACACACACATGCACACGACATGCCCACGATGCAATCCACAAAACACACACACACACACAACACAACACAACACAACACAACACACACACACACACACACACACACACACACACACACACACAC